ACATACAGCTTGTACAGTCTTGTTGTCTAAGAGAGTAAGTATATACACTAACATTTTCTTATTAACCTCTCTCTTTCAACAAGGATAGACTTATGTTCTCAACTGTGAACTCAGCTAAGACTATCCCTACTTAATACTATAGACAAACTACTGAGTAGTAAACAGGGCTGAGTAGTATTCTAAACATTCTAAGTTCTTAGAATGTAGAAGTAGTAGGTCAGATTGTACAGATTTAGACTTAGATAAAGTATAAAGAGAAGAATCAAAAGAATCAGAAGAAATAAGAGAACTATCTACTTTTGTTTTCAACTTTTTTCTTTTTAATAAATAATTTTGTTAATTTACTTTTTCTACTTTTTCTACTTTTTCTACTTTTCTTACTTTATTTACTTCTAATCCTACAGTGTCTATTGAATCAAAAGTGACTGTTAAAAAATCTGAGTTATAACCCTTTAGTACTACATTTACTGTTAGGCCTCTACAAAATCCTAGAGTATGTAGTTAGAGTCTAGAAGTTCTAAGGTAACTTTCAGATTTACAGAAAAGGCTTCTTACTATAAATCCTGCTTGTTACTCATTATTACTCTAATAACCTAAAAGATATACTATTACTTCTGTAGGTAGTCCTTAATTTAGTACTCTGACTTTCTGTAAGTAAAGTATACTCCTTACTTTTAGGCTTCTCTAATGTCTATCAGAACAGATTGATTACAAATTATAAGCAGATTAATCTGAGAGCTTAGAACTGTTAGAGCTAGACACATGTATAAGTATTCTACACAGACTTGATACATTCAAGCTATAGCTTAGTTGAAGGAAATGGTGCATGTCTTCTAATTAGTATAAGTAATTAGTTCTAGTATTATTCTAAAAATCTTATTAACTAGTTCTAGGTGAAGAGCTTTTTCAAGTATTCTAATAAGAACATTATCAAACCTGAGTGTGAATCCTACCTTCTAGGCTAGGATATTAAACTCCTGAAAGAAAGTATTAGTAGAATGTTTGCTCTATTACAGAGATACAAGCTTGTTCTATATATTGTACTTCTTATTCAGATTAATAAAGGAAGTATAGAGCTACTTTATGAATTCTGAGTACAACTCATTATTCTGAAGTCAGATCAGGCTTCTGATCTAATGTTCTTTAATCTAGTTCTAAGCCTAGGTGGCTGTATTACCTTCCTTTATAAAGGAGAGGACAAATAGGATACAATTAAGATCTAAGAATAGATTAGTTGAAGTAGTAGTTATGTATAGTTCAACTTAGTACTAGAAGTCCTTAAAGTGCTACCTATTAAAGTCTAAAGGGTAGACTATATATACTTTCTTTCTAGAACAGGTTGTAACTTCTGGAACAATTAGAACAGGTTCTAAGAGGGCTAAGAGTACATAGTTAGTAAAGGCCTCTTAAATAGAGGTCTATACATATTAAGCTAGGTCTGCTTGTAACTACTGATCTGGTAGAACAGTAGGGGTGGCAGTTAGTGTAGGAGAGTCCATGTTTACATTATAAAGGAATTGGTACTAAACTAAAAGGGGTAATAAATAGAAGAAGGGTAGTAAAAGTTTAAAAGAGTTTAGAAAGTTTAAAATTTAAAAATGTAAAAGGGTTAGGACAAAGAAAAGAGATTAATATAATAGTAAGTACTAATGTCTGAAATGTAAGAGAGTTATAAGGTAGTAATAGGTAGTCTTAATCTAATATTAGTAACAGTATAGAGGGGACCTAAAGGCTTAGTAAGGGGACCTAGGCTACAACTATTCTACACAATAGAAATACAGAATGTAAGTACTAGAACATAGTCAGAACTTGTAGAACAGATGTAGAGAGAGAGTGAGACAAGAGTAGAGTATATAGAGTAAGTTTAAGAGTATAGGACTACCTAGAGTAGACAAGATCAAAACTATAGGACTAGTCTGATCTTATACACTTATATATACTAAACTACACAAGAGTACTCAGGGAATATAAGCTACTAAGAATGATGAGCCACAAAGAATGAAAGAAAGGAAGATTAAAGATAAAGGTACAAAGAATTAAGGGATAGATAAAGGGTAAGAAACTATAGAATAAATAAAGAATGAAAGAGTAGTTAAAGGAACAGAATAATAAAGTAAGGAGGGGTAGTAGTAAGAGTCAGTACACATATAGTCTATAAACAGTACTCCTGAGGGATAGAAGTCCTAAGTTCTAGTACAGAAGAGTGTAGAACCCTTAGAACTGAAAGTGTAAGAGTAGAGAACTATAACATACAACACTATCTGTATAATTGTTAACCAATTCTCTAAGCAAGTTTACACAGTTCTAACCTGAATAGAACTCACTTCTAAAGACATAGTACACATCTATTAGAATCATGTCTTTTAGTTGTACAGACTCTCTTAGAAGCTTATTTACAATTGTAGACTACAATTTGAGTTGAAATTCATGTAGAACTTATATATACTTCTCAGAATTTAAGAGAACCCTTCTACTGTATATTACTTACAGACTAATAGTCAAACTAAGTAAGTTAATCAGGAGATCAAGCTCTATCTCTAAATGTTCATTAATTATTAGTAGTTAGATTGGTCTGAATAGTTAGCTCTGGCAGAATTTGTGTACAATAACTAGTAACACTCTATAATAGGACAGTCTCTATTCTTCCTCAATTATAGAAGACATTTGTATTAGAGGACAGTTCTGAGTCAGAACAGTAGTTCTGAATCTGTAACAGACTTTGTAGAACAGATATACAAGACTAGAGAGGATACACAAGCTCTCTTAGAGAAGGTAGTATAAGTTATAAAGTAGAACTATAATTAGAAGAGGTCTACAGTTAAGAATTACTAGTCTAGTAACAAAGTTATACTAGAAGCTACTAATCTGACTATAGATTACTTAATGAAGAAGTTGGACAACAAGTGCTTTAGACCCTTTATTATTAAAAAGAAGGTTAGTACCTCTACCTACAAACTCTAACTTCTAACAATATAGAAGTACATACACTCTGTGTTTAACAAGGTTCTGTTGTCTTAGTACTATGATCTAAGTTTTCCTTCACAACAAAGACTCCTACTACCTTTACTAGAACTCATTAGTTCTGAACTAAAATACAAAGTAGAGTACATAGTAGATACTAAGCTAGTGTACAGAAAGCTCAAGTTTCTTGTTTACTAGAAAGGGTACTTAGTTGAAGAACACACTTAGAAACCTGCTAAGAATCTTACTTATACTCCTAAGACAATCTAAGACTTTTATTAACTTCATCTAAGTACTCTGTACAAACTCAGTCTTATAGATTTCTAAGCCCTACTATTCTAACCTATGTCTAAACTACTAACCAAATCTAATGTTTACTAATTAGAATGATTAGTTTTAGAGGGAGAGTGATATTATGGTTCTCTACTCTTACACCTTCAGTTCTAAAGGTTCTACACCCTTCTGTACTAGAACTTAGAACTTCTGTCCCTTAGGAGTACTGTCTATAGACTATATGTAGACTGACTCTTACTACTACCTCTCCTTACTTTATTATTCTACTCCTTTAACTACCTCTTCATTCCTTGTTCATTCTATAGTCTCTTACCCTTTGTCTATCCCTTCATTCTTTGTACCTTTATCTTTAACCTTCCTTTCTTTCATTCTTTATAGCTCATTATTCTTAGTAGCTTATATTCCTTAAGTACTCTTGTATAGTTTAGTATATATAGATGTACAAGATCAGACTAGTTCTAGAGTCTTGATCTTGTTTACTCTAAGTTGTCCTGTACTCTTAGACTCACTCTATATACTCTACTCTTGCCTTACTCTCTCTCTCTGTCTGTTCTGTAAGTTCTAACTATGTTCTAGTACTTATACTCTGTATTTCTGTTGTGTAGGATAGTTGTAGCCTGGATCCCCTTACTAAGCCTTCAGGTCCTCTCTATACTATTACTAACATAGTAGACAGTTAGTAGGCAATTAGTAGGCAATCAGTAGGTAATTAGTAGGCAAGTAATAGACAAGTAATAAGTAATCAACAGGTGGCTACCAAATAAAGACAAAAAAATCTGGAGCTTTCTTGTTGATTATGTAATATGCTTGCCTTGGACTTTGAAGTGAAGCATAGACAACCTGTTACTAGTAATACTTGTAGGATGGTAAAGTTATAGAAAGAAGCTGAACAGGTTAAAACTATCTAATGTCTTTATTTGGTAGTTGTCTGTTGATTGCCCATTACTTGCCCATTACTTGCCTACTGATTGCCTACTAATCACCTACTAATTGCCTACTGACTGCCTACTGACTGCCTACTTTGAAATAATTTAAAAAAATTTTTAGCATTTCTTCTCTAGGTAAAATTTTAATTTTCTTTTAATATTTTATAAGATTTAATATTATAAATGAAATTCTAAATATTTTTTGTCTTAAAATTTGAAAGAAAATTTATAATTTTGTTTTAAAAGAAACTTCAAATTATGTTTTAAAGAATTATTCTCATTTATTTCAAGATTTCACAAATAAAGATATGTCAAAAATAATTTATAGTTTTTGTCTAAAGAAAATTTTAAATGTTGTTTACAATTTCTATCAACCAAAAATGGTAAATTAAATTATGAATTATATTTAACATTATGTAAGTTATTTTTTAAGGCAAGAAATTGTGAAATGCCTGATGTGTCATGATCAAGGAGAGACGTTGCAGACTTTTCACTCGGCCTTCTGCGGATCCGACTGCAACTACTACGGCCTGCCAATATCAGGGATTGTGGAGATCAAAGATGCTCTCCTGTACCATCGCCTCGCTCGAACAACCGTTTACCCATTGGAAATGCATCTACTTGTCATCATCCGTAAAGAAAATGTTTCAGGACACGATGTGCAATTCCCTGAGCAAATTCAAAGTTCTGCTGCTCCATTTGGCCCAACATAGACGCCTCATTCATACATAAGAATATTAATGGGTGCCCTAATCGCAGGGGTTTCTTCAAACCCATTGTCCCACCCCAATTATCTTCTGCCCCTTCACGGCTTAATCGATGAGCGCAGCTATTCAAGACGTTTCTGGAAAGACTTTCGACTATGTCATCATTGGTATTCATCTTTCCCGTCAACTGTATACACTGATGTTCTCATTCGAGTTATTTAACAGGAGGAGGAGTACGTGTACATCCCTACATGTAAAACGAAATCGCTAATGGAATGTTTACGTGCATCTTAGACTGCGGGCCTTACAATTGCAGCTCGTCTGACCGAGGACTCAAATATTTCAGTCTTAGTGCTCGAAGCCGGGCTCGAGCGGATTGGAGATCCAAATATCGGTAAAGCTATCGCGTCGCCGTTCAATATTTACTTCTCATTCCTCATTTTCGGTATGCATGCCTTAGACATTCCCGCTCAGTATGGGATACATTTCGGAGATCCACGTTATGCTTGGGACTTTACAACCGTCCCTCAAGTACATGCAAATAATCATTCAATTGCATGGCCTCGTGGAAAAGTACTTGGTGGAAGTTCTGCCATCAACTTCTTTGTACGTGATTCCCTAGACCTCTAGCAGGTTGACTTTTTGAGATGCTTCCCATTATGCTGACTCCGAACTAGGTCTGGAACAAACCACCTGCAGCAGACATAGATGCCTGGGAAGCACTAGGAAACCCTGGTTGGAACTGGAGTCGATATAACGAGTATTCGAAGAAGTGCGAAGGGTAGGTTGATAATGATTTGAACATCGCGTGATACATGGATTCACTTCTTTGTTGATGCAGGTTCTCAGTTCCAGACGAAGAACTATCAAAGAAATACAGGCAGGAATACAAAGTCGATTCGTATGGCTCTTCAGGACCTATTAAAATAACTTTCCCTTCTGTCGTGGCTGAGCCCGAGATTCCGTTCCATCAGGTATGTCAAACATCTTAAGCATGATATTGATGAGGTGTAATTTCGTTCCTATACCACAGGCATTGCTCAACGCAGGTATCAAAGTTGCAAAAGATCCGGTACGTTAAGCGCAGACTATTATTTCAGACTCGTTGGTGCTGACTATATCTTTTTTGTTTTGGAATTTTAGAACAATGGTGATGTATGCGTACCACGTCCACTCCGCCCCCGGCATAAGTTGACTATATTCATTATGCAGCCAATCGGAACGTGGATGGCTCCGTGCAATCTTGACCCCAAGTCACATACTCGGAGCTATGCAGCAACTGTATGTGGCAGATTTACTGTCTGATCAGACCGAGCTTATTAGGTCGCATAGGCATTCTATCGTCCTAATGCAGAAAGGCCTAATCTGCGAGTCCTTTGCGATGCTCTAGTTCACCACATTGTCACGGATAGGAAAAGCCATAAAGATGTGTCAGACAATCTAGTTAAAGCATGTGCTGTTGAGTTCGAGTACGAAGGAAACGCACATTCTGTTTCTGTCGCGAGGGAGGTTATTGTAAGCGCTGGGTGAGCAGTATAAACTTTATTCTTTGGGTTGGGGATGGACAAAACTGACGAGCAAGATTTCAGTGCCTTGAAATCGCCTCAAATCTTGGAGTTGTCCGGAATCGGAAACAAAAACATTTTGGACCACCTCGGAATAGAGTCAAAAATTAATCTTCCGGGAGTCGGTGAAAACATGCAGGAACACTTTTATAGTGGAGTAATCTTCGGTACAGTATTCCTAGCTATTATGGAACTTTGTATCTTGACAGTTTATATCCAGAGTTGGACCCGAAATACGGCTTTGAGACCCTTGACTCGTTCACCGATGCAGCGTACAAGGAGGCACAGCTTTCCCTTCAGTAAGCCCATCAACAACATGTCGCATTATACACAGGCTCAATTGAATCAACACAGTGCAAAAGGACAGGGCGCATATAGAACGAGTATTTCCAGCATCACATTTCTCCCACTTTCAGCTATTTCATCTACCGAGAAAGCTCGCGAAATCATCACCAGAGAACGCGAGTGCATTAAGATTAAAAAGGAGAAGGGCTCCTTACTTCCGGGACTCTACGAGCAGTACGAAAAGCTATTTGACTTCTTTGAGAATGGTCCTGGGGGAGAAAGTGAAATTGTTTGCTTTCCAGGATGGTTTGGGAAAGGATGTGAGTACTTGCTCCAGTTATTTGGATTGGATGAATGGTCTGACCTTTTCCCTTGTAAGCACCCGAGCCGGGAAAGAAGTACATTACTATTCTACTGAATTTGAATCGCCCATTCAGCCGTGGGACGATTGTGAGGCCATCTCTTTTATATTGCCAACAAGAGGACTTCTCTAACTACTGCACAAATTAACAGCACGTTACGTCTAAGGATCCCCACGCTCAGCCCGAGATGGATCCTCATTACTTTGAAGAACCCATTGGTAGTATTATTTGTGTGATGCTGAGATGTTCTATTAACTTCGTTTTATCGAAGATCTCGAACTTTTAGCTGAAACTCTCAAATTTATTCGTAAAATTGCTGAAGTCGAACCCTTTAAGGACATTATTGGTAAATCGATGTCAATTCTTTGTTGTACAAACGTCAGATGGTTTATCCCATGGCATTGTAGTACGCGAAGTTGCTCCAGGCTCCTCAGTCGATGGTGACGGAGCTATCCAGGAATATATCAAGGATAACATTGGAACAACGTTTCGTATGCAGTTCAATGGTTTCTTTTGCATTTTCGTTCTTAACACTTATTACAAGACACTGCGGGCACACTAAGCATGCTCCCACGCTCTCTAAATGGCGTGGTTGACGCGAATTTACGAGTCTACGGTACACAGAACATACGTATCGCGGATCTAAGCATTGTGCCGTTGCATGTTGCAGCACATACACAAAGTAGGTCTTGAATTCAACTTTCATAGTACTATGGGCTTAGGCCTCTGTTTGCAGGCACAGCTTACACGATTGGTGAGCAAGCTGCGGACATTATCCGCGGACGCATTTCCGAAGTCAGAAACACATGAAGCATAGTCCAAGTGCAAGGAGGATGTCCTTTCTAACCACAATAATGCAGTGTACACACTGAATATCTTCTGTACTACGATGGGAATGAACGCTAGATTAATAGATAGAAGCGGAACTTTGATTTATATAAATCCTAGCTACAATGCGAAGGAGATGAAAGCTAAAGACTCTTCGCAAGCGGAGAAATTTGCGGCAGACCAGGATAGTACGTCGACGGAATAGTTCTACAAATTGGATATTAATGAGGCAGCAGGCAGTGATGCTTTAAATTGCTCACGGAATCGGAATCGACGCGTCCGTAGCAAACCCTTCGGACAAGTCTCCAGACAGAGTAGGCGGGGACGTGAAACCTGGTGGCCTCGACACTGTCGTCGTTATGACGTTGTAATTGTCGATAGTACCGGATTTGAGGCATGATCCGGTTCCGAAAGCACTCTGGCATTTGTTTACCGCCTCACCTGTATTAGACCACAGCGCAGTGTTCTTGAGCGTCATATCAAAGCATGGAACAGAGTTGGAACAGATGAACTGGATTGGTGGACGTTGCACTCCATCGACGACTGAACCATCCCAAGTCTATAAACATACGAAGTCAGTTCATGTTGCATGGTTGCATGCAAAACTGCATACATCGAAGGTGATGTTACTGAGCTGCACACCGGCCCCATCAGCTTGCGATTGTCCGGACCAGTACTGGTCCACGTCAAGTCCGTAGGCAGTATTATGAGAGAGGAAGTTCTGTAGATACACATTCCGCAGGTATCCAGATCCTCCCCACGACTTGATCAGGAAAATCTGATTGCCGCCGTTCGTGTACACATTCCGGTAAAGGATGTTCTCAATGGCTGTACCAGTGCCAAGAGACCCAATAGCGCTTCCACCGGACTGGTTGCACCAGATCCGCTCTACGAGAATATTAGTCGAAGGTGACTTTACAGTGACACACTCGTCGCGATTCGTCACTTCAACGTCGTGAATCCAGTGGTTGGTACCTGGTATAGGTCACATAATCAGATAAGACGATAATGTCTCAAATGGTTGGCAATACCCCAGACATCTACGCCATCGCTGCCACCGATGTTCGCTCCTCGGATTGCCAAGTTGTAGATTTCACCATTTGAACCTTCTTGGATTACGAGATGGAATTCCGGTGCTACATTTCATTGACGGAACTAAATTAAAACTTATATGAGGCAATTTGACAAACTTACAGTCAACCAGGATGAGGTCATGCACGGAGAAGTTTGTAGAGGTGACAATGCGGATGAGACGGGGCCTGGAGATTGTTTTAGGCAAGTGAATATAGAATGTCATTTTATCATACCCCGCATTTCGGCATTGGTACCCAAGACCTTGAATTGCTCCGGCACTGTTGCTCGAGTAGAACTCGAAGTCATCGGCATCTGTTATCACGATCATGTTTCCTGTAGTTGTGCCTACAGTAGCAAGTAAATGACAATAGTCCATAATGAGTAGGGACACTTACTGGCACGAGTAATAACACCATCCATTTGAAACGCCCATTTCTTGCCGCCGCTCAAGTTTTGCCAGGTTTGCATATTGTAGTTTCCAGCCGGAACATAAAGAGTCGAACCAGAATTCTGGAGGACACAATCCGAGAAAGCCTTGCCAATTGCAGGTCCGATGTCCTATTCCAACGGTCTTATCCTGGATCAGAAGGTACTTTTAGACCATACTCACGCTTGAACCGATTTCACCACCATAATCGAGTACATTACATATTGTTGCCTGTTTGTCAGAGGTTGAAGTAGTTGGACCGACTCTGCCAGACAACTGAGCAAGCGCAGCTGAGAATGTTAGGAAAAAGCCAAGAACGCGAAGGAGGCCGGAAGACATGGTTACTCGCTGGCACAGGAATTCGTGCAGACAGATTTTTTCAACTTTGATTCCGCTCGCTTTTATGCGTTGGTTCGGATATTTTCCGCATTTTCTGGAAATGAGAAGTAATCATACGCATAAGGGTATTTTCCAAGTACAGCAAATAAGTCTTTGACGAGCGGAATCCGATGGCCGTGCAGCCGTTGCCTATTATATGCACGAATCCTCGCGTACGCTTTTGATCCTTGTCATGGGGACAAGTGCCTGAGACAGTTACGAAAGGTCAGAGTTTCATGGATGCGACGTTACGTGGCAATTAGCCGTAAGGTTCTAAGAACGCGAGTTGTTGCTTTGTGGAGCAATAAAAGCCATTCAAGATATGAGAGAACTTCGAAAATCCGACGTCGATCCGCAATACGAAGAGCATTTGGCAGGTAGGCGACGGTCCGTCCGTTCGAAAGCGGACCGTCAGGCAGCCACCAGCCTGAGAGCTGCGCAGTTCCTTTGGTACGATGCATCACAGGAGAGAACGTAAGACAAGACTATTTGACGTAACGTAGTTGGTCTGGATAAAGACACATTTGCTGACCACATTTGCCGATTGAATGCTAAACATCTGGAATGCACAGCTCTGCTGGATGGTAGTTGTGTCACCTGAGGGACATACTGTAAGGGGCCTAATTAGAGGGTGTACAAGACCCTTGTAGTCCCTCTAATTAGGTACCTTTTGAGCTTTTCTCCCTAACTGTACTTAATACTAGACTTAAATAGTAAAGTCAAAATAAAATAAAATAAAATAAGTATGCTGAGTGCCCTATATGGCAACTGTGCCCTCCCCACCTGCCACACCTTGAGCTCACTGTCTCATACAGTGAGCACACACTTTCCTCTGTATCTTACTCAATTCTTAACCAAATTTCTTCATTATTCCTTTAAAATTAATGTAAATTTAGTTGGAACTCATTCATAACACAAATACAATGTTAAATGTATCAATTACTTGTGTATTTGTGTACTATTTGATAATAAAAAATACAACAGTTTCCTCTGACTAAGATTTATGATACTCTAAACTCTTAATACTGTAATAATAGTAGAGCTTATATATCTACAGTATATCTAAGAATTGAGTCTGTGTAATGTGTAC